GAGGTGAACTTTCGTCCAAGATTGACATTAAAGAGCGGACCAATCTACGCTAAGATAGGAGACAATGTTACTCTTCCCGTGTGTCACGTGATTGGGCATCCACAACCGGAAGTGGTGTGGCGAAAGTCCCTTGGGCAATTACCCAATAAGCGTTCTCATATCGAAGACAATCTCTTAACTTTACTCAGTTTACGAAAAGAAGATTCCGGAACGTATTTTTGTGGAGCTGAAAATCCTCTCGGATCTTCACTTGCTTGGTGTGTGTTGGTGGTGGTGCAACTGCCAGAATTTGTCATCAAACCTCCTTCGTCGCTTAAAGTTTTTTATAGAAAAACTGTTGTAATAAATTGTACAGCTAGAAGTGACCCCAAACCAGTCATCAGCTGGAGAAAACAAAACGGAGGTCTGCCTACTGGAGGACATGAAGTAATCAAGAATGGTTCTTTTATTCTAAGAGATGTTACTGAGTCRCACACAGGTGTATATGTGTGTACTGCKACAAGTGCTGGCGTTTTTCATGTCGACACRCTCATAGACATTCAACTGAAAYATTATCACGACTGTTCAGAGATTTACAAATCAGGTGAAAGWCGTAACGGTGTGTACACGATACAACCAGACAGTCAAGGASCCTTTCAAGTCTACTGTGRCATGACAACTGACGGAGGGGGGTGGACAGTGTTCCAGAGAAGACAAGATGGATCTGTWGACTTTTATCGTGACTGGCAGCAATAYAARACAGGTTTTGGAAACCTGAATGGCGAGTTGTGGTTAGGTAATGACAACATATATCGATTGACAAAAGGAAGAGCATCCACCCTGCGCGTAGAGCTGGAGGACTGGGGAGGAGTTCGGAAATATGCCAAATATGGTAGTTTTAGTGTTGGTGCTGAATCGGACAAGTACAGACTGAAGGTTGGCTCGCATTCAGGTGATGCTGGGGACTCACTGACGTCCCATAATAACATGTTCTTTACTACCAAGGATCGAGATAACGACAACTGGAGCAAGAATTGTGCGTTAGAATATACTGGTGCTTGGTGGTATAMGKCTTGTCATTMTTCCAATCTGAATGGGAAATACTTGGGAAACACCATTGATACGAAAGGAATCTGCTGGTATTACTTCAAAARTARYTATYATTCATTCARGCGTTCAGAAATGAAAACACGACCTACGACATTCTAATGTTATTGCAATGTTCATCCAACAATTCTCTTGTATTTTGTCAGTCTTCGCGTGATTTATAACTGCACACAGTATGCGCGCGCGTTTTCCATTTCTTCAACACAGCACAGTCCTCCACCAATCAGAGCACACGTAGCGAGGTGACTATGTAATAACAATATATCCAATACTTTTGATTCATAAAAGCTTTAGTTTAGAATAAACGCGACATGAACAGAGGGGGTACAGCGTTTAGATTTGGATGACTGTTTTCTTCAATAGATGAGTAATGCATGGAAAACTAATTGAATGATTGAAAATGACGATCAATTTTTGCCGGCAATTACCGTAGATAGGTAATAAGATTTATGGGATGTGTTTATCTGTTATAAATCAATTATTAAACCTGATTTTACCTGTGCATCACAGCACCCATAGTTAGAGCGCATTACTTTCATCTGTAACTAGCGTTACCTTAGAGACGATAATCAAATATGCTAGAAATTAGGTTTTCTAAATCACATTTTATTGCATGGACCGACCCAAAACCGCAATCGAAACAAGCATGTCTCACGACGCATGTCACACGACGCATGTCACACGACGCATGTCACACGACGCATGTCACACGACGCATGTCACACGACGCATGTCACACGACGCATGTCACACGACGCAAGACACACGACGCATGTCACACGACGCATATCACACGACCAATGTCACACGATGCATTTAAGAAGTTGTATATCGCACGATGTATGTAACACAATATATTTCGCACGATACATGTCACGCAATATGTTAAGTAATCAAATGATTCATTCTGTTTGATTTTGAATAAATATTTTAGTGAAGTTGTGAGGAAAACCTAAATAAAAGCAWCTTCCTGCTTCAAACAATTTCTAAAATAGCAAACGTGGTGCATTGTGGTCTAGCTTAGGTACAAGCATTTCTTGATCATCATGTCTTATATGGTGTTGTTTGTACCCATTAAGGTAAACGATCACAATACACCTTGTTATCTATTCTATAGTAATGCATTAGTCAACATGGTGCATTATGTCTAGCTATGTACAAGCATCTTTCATCATGCCTTGTMTGGTGTTTTTTGTACCCAAGCTAGACCACAATGCACTTTGTTTCCGAACTCAGAAAAGGCCAATGGGCCCACGCCAGGGGCGCATCCAGGGGTGGTAATATAGGTGACTAGTCACCCCCCCCCTTTTATCCTCGAATTTCTCAGTATATCGTTAGCAACAGTCACCCCCCTTTTCCTTGCATTCCTGGTAAAACCTTTGTAATAGTCACCCCCCTTCTAAACTCCCTTCATCCACTCCTGCAAGCCGATAGTGAACCATTTCTTATTACTATATTAATRCACGGGGTTTATTACAGACACAGTTTGAGGTTGAGTCCTAGCGAAGTGGATAATCTGTGGAAGAAAYTACCAATAGAACGAGATGGTACAATGAACTTTATCGAGCTGGTTAAGACATGTTTCACTGCTGCAGGGAAAACACCGCCAGGAGATCACGATGATTACCAAACTAAAGGTACGTTGTGATTGGATGSAGGAGCTTGACATGATCACGTGWTGTTGGACAAAGATACTTGTCATACCACAGGCAGCCCAGGCTCAATGTTTGCAAGTTCAATGTTTTTCTCTTAGGATTAAAATTCCTGTCCGTTTCAAACTTCAATTAAGTAAAATAATTTACTCAAAATTACCAGCTCCTTCCCCTTCAATC